AAACAAGCCCGATGCCCGGCCCGCGTCTGAACTATGACGTGAAAATTGTCCCGAAGGCCGGCCCTAGGGGCGTAAAAAAGTCGGGGCCCATCGGGCCCGGGCTTAGATGCAGGGCTCTAGTTCAGGCAAAAGGAAACACCCATATGCAGCAATCATCCTTAATTGCAGAAATGTGGCAAAACATCTCTGGAGAGAACCTCAGATTATTAAATTCGAAAGCGTTTTCCATATTTGGATCAACATAGGCTACATTTGTGAATGCATATTTTCTGCAATGTCGCGCGTCGTCACGCTTCCGTGCGCGTCTTACAGACTGCAACTTACAATCGCAACTTCATTGTGCTGTTACTCCTTTCGCCGAATTTCACAAAATTGGTCAGCTCCTGACAGCATCAGGTGTTTTATTAATGGTGAGTATAATTATTTATTTATTTCAATGAATGTAATCGATTAGATATCATAATATTTATGCTATAATAGGCTATTATAAACCTGGTTGGTTTGTATTGGTGACATAATATGTAAATTATATGCGTGCGGCCCGTGAGACTTGCACTTGGACCACAGTGCGGCCCAGTGGAAAAAAAGGTTGAGAACAACTGTTCTAGAACAATGTGCATTTATGTTAAAATTGTAGCATAAATTATCAAGTTTAGTTATTTTTATTTCTTTATTGCAAAAAGCTAAAACTTAACCCATATCATGGTGTGTGATGCTGAACTATGAGTTTCTAATGGTGTTTGTATTTGCACTTTTCTAAACATTCATATTTTATGTGCAACAACAGCATATGCTGTCTCAGTGGCCTTACACATGATTTTAAATCTATTTTTTCAAACTTTATGATTTAAATGTGGATGATTGAATTGAGAATAACTTTCATCTTTTCTTCAACTGAATACTGTTTCCATGCTGTTTTAATGTATTTTAAAGAGTTGGCAGTCAAAATTAAAACTGCTGGATGATAGATATTCTTCATTCTTTATGACAAACAAGATAATGTGAATTACAGAATGTACAACGTTTTTTAAATGTGTAAATTGCGGTGTACAGCGTTTATTATGAGGGGGTAGAATCCACAGCTCAGTACTCACTACTCAATACTCATGAGTACTTTTAAATAGGCTACTCTTTTACTCTTACTCAAGTAGTTTTTTGGACAAGTACTTTTACTCTACTCACACTACATTTTTTGGAAGGTAATGGTACTTTTACTTGAGTATGTTTTTTCAGTACTCTTTCCACCACTGTTTGTAATTATGTAGAATTATGTTTATCTTCCAGATTAACATTAAGTTTATCATAACAATTTATATGGAGAATGCATCATGACGTAAAGGCTTTCATTGTGTCTTCCTAGCATTTGATTGATTCTTTTTTTTTTTTTTTCATTTATTCATTGTTTTTTAAAAATGCAGGCGTTATTTTCTTTCTCTCACAGGCATGTTCAAGAGTCTTGTGCATATTGAGACATAGCCCCACTCCTCAGATTAGTGTTTGCAGCATGCTGGGGTTGTTGGCTCGATACACAGCTGGGATAAGGTATGCACTGGAGTTACAGGTTCTGCAGAGGGGCATCTCCGAAGCATGCCAAGCTGAGGATGATGACACCAATCAATCTGTCTCTTCTATCGAAGAGGACTTTGTTACTGCTTTTGAGCATCTTGAAGAGGAAGATACAGGTTATTACTTATGATGTTTTCATGATAATATTAGGATAACTTCCTGTTTCAATGTGGGTTCGAATAAAACCGTTTTATTTTATTAATTTACACTACCATTCAAAATGTTGAGGTCGATTAGATGTTTTTGAAAGAAGTCTTTCAAATGCCCACCAAGGCTGCATTTATTTAATTTGAAATAAATGTTCTCTATTTTAATATTCTTTAAAATGTAATTTATTCCTGTGATGCAAAGCTACATTTTCAGCATCATTATTCCAGTCTTCAGTGTCACATAATCCTTCAGAAATTATTCTAATGTGCTGATTTGCTGCTCAAGAAACATTTCTTATTTTTGTTATCAATGTTGAAAACACTTGTGTTGCTTAATATTTTTGTGGAAACCGTGATGCATTTCTTTTTATTGTTTCTTTGGTGAATAGAAAGTTGAAAGGAAGTGCATTTATTTGAAATAGAAATCTGCTGCAACATATTATAAATGTTTTTACTGTTTTGATCAATTTAATGCATCTTTGCTGAATGAAAGTATTAATATCTTTCAAAAATATCTTACTGACCCTAAACTTCTGAACAGTTGTGTGTAAATATTCATTTTAGCTCTCCTGAATGAGAAGCATATATAGCAAGTGACCAGCAACCATAAAAGCTTTGAAAGTAAATGCTTGTGATCAGCTGCTAGTTCTGCATTTAATTAACTGTTAATAAGAATTGTTCTTATGGACTGTTCTCTGATCTTGCAGGTGCCCGTAGTCAGAGGAATCAAAGGGATGTGGCATCCCAGACTGTTCCCTCGCATTTAAGAGACTTATCTGGATCTCGGATTATTATAAGTTCCATACCGAGGAAGTCATTGCGCAAGGAAAAGGCTGCTTCAAAAGTGTCAGAAACTGTCCTGAAGTCAACACCGTGGCCCGCAAGTTCTGAGAGCTCATATGCACTTAGCAGTCTTCCAAAGGGACACGCTACTTCCACATCCCTCACAGAGTCAGATGAGTCAGACTGCTCAAGTCCCAGCCCTATTATATTCCTGGATGAAGTTGGATATCAGAAGAGTCTTAAAGCAAAACTTGACATTCCCAAGATCCCCGTTTTAAAGGATGGAGTAGAAGATTCTGACTCAGAAGTCAGTGAATTTTTCGACAGCTTTGATCAGTTTGATGAACTAGACCAGTCTTTTGATTCCAACATCAAGGTCCTTAAAGAACAGCCCCTCCCTGGTCAAACACAGAAGCATGTTGACAACTCTGGTTGTAAATTTGTATCAAGGGGGTGCTCGACCACAGCAATGAACCCTCAAAAGTTTGATCATAGGACTCTTCCAGCCAATGTCAAGAAACCAACTCCACTTAAACCAGGATCACCGTACAGTATTCACTCTGATTCACCAGATTCCCCATGGCCTGCGAGGACTCCCTGCGAGGAAAGCGGGCCGCTCTTCAGTCCAGTTCGTTCATCTGCATTTAGCCCACTGGGAGAAGGAGGGTCCTTAGAGTATTTTTGGAAGGCAGATGGAGATGGCTCAGAATTAAGTAAACCACAGGATCTTTGCTCGCTGTACAAAACATACTCTGATTTTGCTAACAACCTGTCAAAAGAAATCCTTGGATCTGTCTGTGGGTACTCCTCCCCTGTTGATTTTAACATTAATAAGAACTTGAGCTGTGTGTGTCATAAGGAGTTCAAAAACGCTAATGGGCATCTAATGAAGCTTTCAGACATCCAGGAGACAGTCACCATCACCAAATCCCAATCACAGTCTCTTAAGGATGGGATTCAGAAGTTTGCTACAGACTTGGTTGAAATGAGCCTTGGAAGTGCCTTAAAGGACTTGCAGAAAGGTGTGTCCTCCTGTACCACTACACTTTGCCATTTGGCTGCAAGGCTGACTTCTTCAGTATTTCAAATGGCCTTTCATGAGATAGGTATGCGCCATGCATATGTGTTAAAAGAGCATGCCATAAACGGTCTAGCCAGTTTCCTAGTAGGAGAAGCCATTTCTGGAGCCCTCAAGGAGTTTCTCTTTGTGAAAAAGCAGATTTTCAACAATACTGTCACACGATTTGCTGCAGATCTTGCTGAGGAATTAGTGTTTGAAGGAATTATGGAGGTTTGCCAGTTTTCGCATCCCTCAACGCCACTCACGCCAAGTGACTGGTCGTTTGAGCAAGAGGAGGAAGTGGTTTCATCCTACGCCTCTGACCTGTCGGAGTCTGTTCTCCAAGAGGCTTTTATAGAGCTCTCAAAAACTGCTGTGACTTTCACTACACAGGCAGCTATCAGTGTGTCAGTAGACAACATTTGCTATGTGAGTGCTGAAGATAGTTCTCTCATCACAAAAACCTGCAGTGCCCAAACTAGCTATCTTGGATCTCAGGCTGCCGTTGAGGCTGCAAATCAAGAGCAGGATGGTTGCACAGTGAAGAAAGCCTTGTATTGCATGTCAGGTATGGCCAGTTGTGTTCCAGTTCTTGTGGCTGGCAAGGCCATAGCCCATGTGCACAACTCAGATGAACCTTCTCTGTATAAATCCAGTATTGGTCATGTATGTCAGACCATTCCTAAAAGAACCATTTGTTGCCAAGGGGAAGTGGCATCCTCAACCTCAGATACCTCTGAAGCAACTCAGACTGAATCATCACCAGGTCCTGCAAGAATCCAGGATGCCAGTGATGAGGAAGTTGTTGGCAATCCATCCGTTGAAAATGATTCCGGCAAACCCTCGATTGGAAAGACTTTTCAGAACTTTTCTGGGAATATGGTGGACACTATAGTAGGTGAGGCATTCGATCTTATGCATTCTTCAACAAAAGTGAAGAAGAAAGTAGAGGATTGTGCAGACTCTTTGAGCAAAACAATAGCAGCTCGCATATCCACTCCAAGCCATGGAAGTGGTAATTCACACGATGTATCGACTGAGAGAGGTCCCTCTCAGATTCCCTTTCACTTGATGTCAAAGGGCTCTTGTGACCCATCCTCCAGAAGTGTACGTCCAGTCTCCAGGCTCACCCAAGAGATCCGTTCTGTCGTGAGAATGGACACATTGGAAGTGCCCACTTTTGAAGTTGCCTCATGTGGTGGTAGAAAAGTCGGTGCAGATGATTTTTCAAGCAGCAACTCTGGAACAAAATCGTCTGAAATCCCTAGCACCCCACCCTCAAGTCCTCAGCAGCCATCAGACGAGTACAGTGAGAAACAGATCAGACAGTTCTCGAAGAAGCTCAAAGGTACGCTTGCAAAAGAATTTTCTCCTGCGACTCCTCCACCCACCCCTTATTACCTACCTGCCGCCGACACCAAAGAAGAAGGTTCCGTATCAGACAAGGCCGATTTCATGCTGAAACTCATTAGGTCTCTCTCTGAAGAAGCTGGCAGCAATGAAGATGAGGAGGAGGACCAGGAAGATAACCCTCACTCTAGAAACTGCCAGGCAGAGTTGAGTCCCAATGTCAGGAGCCGAATGATCGAGAGGAGTGCGCTCCGTTATGCAGAGCGTTTAGCGTGCCACATTGTTTCCATGGCCACTGAGATGGACACACTAAGCCTCGGAGATGTGAAGAAGCCGGTGGGTGACGAAAGCAAGGGCAGTGTTGCCTTGCATAGCGCACAGTTCTCAGAGCAGACTTTAAATTCTTTGTGGACATACGCTGGAGAAGTGGCTGGAGAAGTCATCAATGATGTCAAGAAGATGATGAGTTCAAGCCACTGTTGTCACAAAATGATAAAAAGAGGATCTGTGAACTCTGCAGACAAACGTCAGAGCGGAGATGGTCTTTTGGGAAATTTGACTTGTCAGTGGCCTGGTGGCGTCCAGGTGAGTGGCAGTTCAAGTGGGATGTCATCAGAGTATCCAAGTTGCGAGAGTGTCACTGACGAATATGCAGGATACCTCATTAAGGTGCTCAAGAAAGAGGGAGGCAACCGAGAGCTTATATTGGATCAGTACGCCACTCGCTTGGCGTATCGATCTATTAAATCTGGCCTGGCTCATGCGGCTCGAAAAATAAAGCAGAGATCTCCTTTGAGGCTTCACTCATCTAGGCGTTTACACAATGATCGTAGTCCTTATGTTTCCCAAATTGCCATATCCAAGTCATCCCACGCTGCACTTAGTGATGGAAAAGATGGATTCTCTTGTGAATCTCTGCCATGTGCTTGTCAAGACGTTCAAGACCTGAGCAGTAATGAATATGTAGAACTTGTGAACTTTGCAGAGTCGCTGGCCTACAACATCACATGTGACGTTACGAGAAAGCTGAGAATGAGCTCAGTTAGACTGCCAAAATCGCTCACTGATTCTTGCCTCTACAGGAAATCCACTATTGAGGACATGCCAGAAAATCTCATCAAAAATACATTTTCATGCTCTCTTTTACCTTGCACAGAAACTAACAGGCTCTACCATAGTACAAGCAGCTTAAATGATGGCAAAAGCAACAATGGTGTAATGCAAGTGATTGAACATTATGCCAGGAAAATTGTTGATGACACTTTGGAAATAACGCTGGGTCCAGCATGTGTTCAGGCAGCGGGGGACAGGAGGGCACTTGAAAGCAATTCCTTCACAGAAAAGCTGGCTGAGGCATATGAAGCCTGTCGATACTGCCAAGGTCGAGATTGCCTGTTTTGCAGTAGAGACGGTCGTCGTGGTTTCCAGGGACTGAAAATAAGGAGGCAACAAGAATCAGATGCAGTGACTGGACTGGAAATCCCTAGAATACACATTGATTTGGAAAAAAGAGCAGCTTTTGCTGAAGAAATGGTGTCCAGTGCCATTGAGAAAGCCAAAAAGGAACTGAGCTGCACCAGTCTGAATGCAGACAGTGGGATTGGTCATGATGGCGCAAGCTTTGCAGAAAGTCTCACCACAGAGATTATGACATCCGCATTGTCCAACGTCTGCCAAACCGTCAATCTTGGGTAAAGTGACAGCTTTCACAGAGTCATACATACAGCCTATCACTTAAAATTGCTCATCAGTTACTCAAGACAAGTGGATTTCCTAGATTTTTAAATTTTTTTTTTTTATATTGGCTCATCGTAATTGATGACTTTTTTCCTGTTTCAGTACCTCCAGAAGAGAATGCGTCAATGTGACGGAGTCAACAGTGAGTCAGCAGCTCAGTTTGAGTGTTGGTGATGACAGTCTCGGTAGTTGGTCCAATCTGAGTTTTGAAGAAGACCACCCAGATGAGAGCAGCAGCTTTCACCATCTAAGTGACAGGTGAACAAGTCCCACCACACTTACAAGCATTACACAGTTCATTTAAACTTTAAATGAAGCATTGCTGGTCTACTACCACACTCAAGTTCACTCTGCTTTCTTTTCTTGTGCACCTTTCACAAGCATGTGGCTCTAATCATTGTGGAAAGTACGATTTGGTGAATTAACAGAGGAACGAATGGATTTACAATGACCTTACCAATATGGGAGAGGACAAATTTGTGTTAGAAGAGCTCAGACTGAATGTGTGAAGTATATTGTCTGTGTCAGATCTGTAAGTTGTATAGTAGTGTTTTAGTGCATTTTTCATACCATTTGCAGGCGTGTTTGGTTTTCAGTAGAGGTATTTTGACTGTTTTCACATGTTTAGTCTGAGTTTTATCAGTTTAGGTTTTGGAGTAGGAGAACCTACTGTGTGACTCATTTTTGCTGAAGAACTATTATTGTTCTTTTTCTTCTTTTATACACAAACCATTTTACAATTTTTGAAGCCAGGGATGCTGATTTTTCCATTCTCCAAAATTTCTGAGGAACACCTAGGGCCTTGTCCTGCCTTGTTTTCATTCTCAGAATAATGTAACTGTCTTTGGCTTCAAAACATGACGGCTGAGTCACACGGTATTGTCTTTCAAAGGCAGGCATTGTTTTGTAGTGTTTTTGCTGCAGTGTCTCAATGGAAGCATTTTCTATCAACAATTTAATATCTCCCAAGACACTAAAAGTCAGAATGTATGAGTCAGTTTTTGTTTTGAACAACCCAAGATACCATGAATATGTATCAAAATATTTATGAAAGGTGTGGTTGTCAGCTTGAGGCAGTGTTTCTAGAGTAACCAATAATTAATGTATCGTTAAACCTGTTCTAGAAAATGGTCACACAAAATCAGAGCTGGGCAACAAATATTAATTATATACTGCTGATTTATCTAACAATATTGCAAGTTATCAGTTGTAAATAGTTGACTGTTTAGGCCAATTCAGTATGGTGTCCTATGCTGTCTTTTTTATTTTTTTTTTCAATCGAGGCTTAGGCGATAAATTTAAAGGGGTCATATGATGCGATTTCAAGTTTTCCTTTACAACATGAATCATGTGCATTAGAGTTTATCGTGACTCACTCCATACAAAGTTAATGTTTATTTTTTTAAAAAACAGATATAGAATCATGATTGTTTACTTCTTAACAATTTAATTTAAACCTGTTCTAGAAAATGGTCACACAAAATCAGAGCTGGGCAACAAATATTAATTATATACTGCTGATTTATCTAACAATATTGCAAGTTATCAGTTGTAAATAGTTGACTGTTTAGGCCAATTCAGTATGGTGTCCTATGCTGTCTTTTTTATTTTTTTTTTCAATCGAGGCTTAGGCGATAAATTTAAAGGGGTCATATGATGCGATTTCAAGTTTTCCTTTTTAAAGCATGTCAACATATTCTGTTACACCAAATACACCAAATAATGATCTTTAAAAAAGCATCATATGACCCCTTTAATATTCATGATATTCATATTTGCAGTGATTTTGCTGGTGATATAAAATTAAGCAACACTGTGAATATGTGCTTTTTGTGCTTTTTTGGCTGTTAAATTTTCGAAAGACTTTGTCGTTCGATTTATGATCTCTCCTTGTCTTATGTTCTGCGAGTACAAGTACAATAAAATAGATTTAAGGGTTGGTAAGAGTTCAAAAATATTTTTGAAAGAAGTCTCCTTGATTTGATTAAAACTTCAATAAAAAAGGTAATATTGTGAAATATTACAATTTAAAAGGGATGATCTCTGTTTTAATATATTTTAAAATGTAATTCTTGTGATGCAAAGCTGAATTTTCAGCAACAATTACTCCAGTTTTCACTGTCACATGATCCTTCAGAATTCATTCTTATATGCTGATTTAATCTTACTACTATTACTACTAATTTTACTACTAAATGCTCATCCAAATCAGAGCTGGACAACAAATATTTATGATATACTGCTGATTCATCTGCCAATATTAAATTAAGCAATATTTTGATTGGTAGAAAACGTTGTTCCTCTGATTGCATGAATGTTAAGAGGATTTTTTACCCATAATGCCACACCCCAAGTCAGTCGTTCAGTTAAAGGCATCAAGAAAAATCTATTTAAAAAAAAGTATGGCATCAATATCTGTTAGTATGGGTAAGTCATAAATATGCCATGATTTCTAGCTGAAACAGTATTGGAGCTGGTTTATATGAGAACTGGGAAGCTGGGAGCTCCTGTCACTCTCTTCTGCATGTGGTTTGTGGTGTCTTTCCCTTCAGTCTGTCAGTGAGACTGTCTTACACCTGCAATATTTTTCACCTTACAGCGATGGCACTGAAGAGAAGGAAGCTGAGGCCAAAGAGGATTCAGGCGGTAAATAAAAACTATATCTGTTCTTTGTATTTTTCTCCAGTGCTGGTGTTTATTCTGTGGTCTGTTGTTAGACCTCAACTGTTAGACTAATTTCAGCCCTAATTTTTGTGCTGCCACTCATTTAAAGTGGTCTTACTTGGCCAAGCACCTTCAGCGCGCCCCTGTCAAAGCCACAAGACTATTTATCCACGATGAGCTCAAGCAGGGTTCTGTGTCTGGCCTAGTTAACAGAGAGAGCGTGGGAACTGGTTTGCTGAAGGTGATGGTTTTTGTGTGTATGTATGGGCTGAACGTGTGTGTTTTGTCCGTGCAGGAGCGGTGCGAGTGGAGAGGGAGCATAGGCCGGCAGAAAGAGCTCTGCTGGTGGTCAGTACAGATGTCCAGGGTCGAGCTGTGGACCCCCAGTTGACGGCTGTGCTCCAGTGGATCGCCGCTTCTATCGCTGATCTGTCTTTAATGCAGCTGAGCCAGTTCTCAGCCCAGGAGCTGCAGCAGGTGAGAACACTTAGTATCAGTGTTGGGGAAAGTTACTTTTAAAAGTAATGCATTACAATATTGCATTACTCCCTAAAAAAGTAATGAATAGTGTTAGTTACTTTTTATGAAAAGTAATGCGTTACATTCCCTTTGCGTTACTTTTTCCTCATCTGGCCTGGCCTGTAGTCTAGAACTACAGTAAGCATCATGCTTACACAACACACACAGCGCCTCTGCCCTCACTCCCAATTTCTCTCAACACGGGGACAAGAGTGCTGTCATTCAGTAAATGGGAAAACAGTAACTGGTGTTACTTACTTGAAAAAGTCGCTCAGGTATTTTCTTGTAAATTAAGAAGTAATACATTACTAGTTACTTGAAAAAAGTAATCTGATTATGTAACTCGCGTTACTTGTAATATGTTAGTCCCAGCACTTCTTAGTATTATCATAGATATGAACTTATATGAATTATCAAGTACAGTATATTGCAACCCCAAAAGTTAAACCAATTAAATAAGGTTTTATTTTATTTTATTTTATTTTTTTATTTATCAAGGCCTATGAAATATATTTATTAATATTTACTATGTTTACAATAAAGAAGGATGCATTAAATTGATCAAAAGTGACAGTAAATACATTTATAATGCTACAAAAAAAATCTATTACAAATAAATTATATTCTTTTGAACTTTCTGTGAATCAAAGAATTCTGAAAAAAATCTTACCAGTTTCCACAAAAAGTTTTGATAATTGATAATAAGTAGAAATGTTTAAACATCAAATCAGCATATTAGGGTGATTTCTGAAGGATCATGTGACACTGAAGACTGGAGTAATGATGAGTGTTAGTTACTTTTTATGAAAAGTAATGCGTTACATTCCCTTTGCGTTACTTTTTCCTCATCTGGCCTGGCCTGTAGTCTAGAACTACAGTAAGCATCATGCTTACACAACACACACAGCGCCTCTGCCCTCACTCCCAATTTCTCTCAACACGGGGACAAGAGTGCTGTCATTCAGTAAATGGGAAAACAGTAACTGGTGTTACTTACTTGAAAAAGTCGCTCAGGTATTTTCTTGTAAATTAAGAAGTAATACATTACTAGTTACTTGAAAAAAGTAATCTGATTATGTAACTCGCGTTACTTGTAATATGTTAGTCCCAGCACTTCTTAGTATTATCATAGATATGAACTTATATGAATTATCAAGTACAGTATATTGCAACCCCAAAAGTTAAACCAATTAAATAAGGTTTTATTTTATTTTATTTTATTTTTTTATTTATCAAGGCCTATGAAATATATTTATTAATATTTACTATGTTTACAATAAAGAAATTAAATAATACTGTGAATGTCAATTTTATGAACAAAAAATT